TTTTTAACCTTTTTAGATTTTTTTTTATTATTGAGTCGGGTCGACCCGACCCACAAAACACGACCTCTCAACCCAAAACGAGCAAAACAGATCAAACACCAAACAGAAAAATTTTTTAATTAGGGTTCATCATGAATACATCTCATTTCCAGCAAAAGATGAACATATTCACAGATTCGTCAGGCAACTAAATAGGCAAATAATCTTTCATTCATTTTCTCAAGAAAAATACATATAACCTTAAACATTAAATGAAAAATACAAAGGAAAATCAACAAACAGATCAACATTCACAGCAAAGTTTTCTGGGGAAAATAGATCCAGATCTGATGGGAGGGATCCCACCCACGGTACCAGGCTCCCATCGTCCCGTTCACCACCATTCCTAGAAAACTTCTCTGTTCAGAAAAATTATCTACGCAAAGCAAACACAGCAAATAAGCCCTCCGTCAACCTCCGTTACAAAAACTGAGCCCTTTTCAACAGAAAACTTTTCATTTTCTCCGCTGGCAACAGCAGAAAAACAAAAAGACTCCTCCGCCGTCAACACCAGAACCACACAAAAAAAACCTTCTCCCTCTTTTGGATTTCTGTCTTCTGCTTCTCTCTTTGTTTTTAGTGACAAGAAGAAGAGGAACCGCAGAAGGAGAAAAATCCGAACCCCCCCCTCCACCCACTCACCAATCTTCTCCTATTTATACAAAAATCAAAGGAAACCCTAAAGGACGCTGGTCTACATCATGCTCAGTTGGCTGCAACGTGGGGTGCAGGATCCGGTTGCAGAAGAGGGGCGCGCGCAGAGAGATTTGGTTGCAGAAGAGGGGTGGCGCAGAGAGGGGGGTGTAGGTTGCTGTAGGCTTGACGGGTGCAGGAGAAGGGAGGCGGAGTCGGCTCGATGCAGGGTAGGTTGTAGGCGTGCGAGGGTGTGATGATGGCTAGTTCGATGATAGGGGGTAGGGCGCGGTGCAGGTTAGGGGTGCTGGCAGCAAGCCGGGTTCGGGTGAGGATGCAGAGCAGGGGCGCTGGCAGGGGTGCTGGTGCGCAGGGTGCAAGGCGCGGGCTCAGGGCGCGGACTCAGGGCGCTGGGGTGAGGGGATCTGGTGCGGGAGCAGGGGTGGGTTCGGTGCAGCAGCAGGGTGAAGGCTGGGTGCCTGGGGAAGAAGGTTCCAGATCCATTTTTATTTCACTTTTCTTTGTTTAGGTTAAACGGGTTTGGGTTTGGGTTTTGGGTATTGGGATTTTGGGCTTGGGTAGTTGGTAGGCTTGGGTTTTTTGGATTTTGATTTTGGATTTTTTTTTTTGGTTTAAGGCTTAAAATTGAAATGGGTTGGAATTGGGCCATTTAAGATGGGTTTAAGGTGTAAATGGGTTTTGGGTTGAACTTTAATGCATTTCACCCTTCAACTTTTCATTTCTTCAAGTGGGTCCCTCATTCTTCAACTTCTTTCCAATCCTTCACAAAAATCCCCAATTTTACTCATCAACCTAACAAGGAAAACAAAGATAAAAACATATTAGTTAAAATAAAATAAAATAAAACTAAAATAAAATCCTACTAAAATTTTAGTTATGATAATTTATTTTAAAATATTTTATTTTGATTAAATAAAAAAATAAATTTTAAATAAATGTATTTTTAAATATATTGTTTGGATATGATAAAATACTATATATTTAAAATTGAATTTTTTTATTAAATTAAATATTTTTTTAATCGTTATTTAAATTTAATAAAATCAAAGTTATTAATTTTAGTCTTCTAAAGTATTATTTAAATTATATCAAGACAAATAAATTAGATAAAATAGAAACAATGACTTTCATTAATCAATTTATCTTCATATTTTTCAGTTTTTGTTTATTTTTTTAATTATCATATAGTAATAAATTTCTACAAAATAGATATATTATGAAAAAATTTCACAATAAAAAATAAAGGAACAAAAGCAATAACTAAAATGAAGTAATATCATCAATAATAAAAAATAAAGGATGAACTTTTTCCATAGCCTTTCATGGCCCCCCGGTAAATACCGCCGGTAGAGTTGAAGAATGAGCCTTCTATACAAACTAATTAACTAAGGAGCTTCTAGTCATTTCCCAAAAAAAGTTGATCCATTTTTTTTTTCTTTTCCACCTTTTGTGTTGTCCAACTCATGACTCGTTTTTCATCAGCTTTACTCAAATTTTGATTTCAAAACCACAAACCCAGGTTCACCTGCCACCGCAACAATTTCCACCGCAACAATTTCCACCGCAATCACAACGCCGCTGCAACCACCAGCCCAACACCCGCCTCCAAGATCCCTTGCTCGTCTCCCCCCTCACCACCTCCCCTATTCTTACCCTTCTCACTCGCTCCCCCTCGGACCTCCATCCCAATCCAAGAAAGAAAACCCTAAAAGCTAAAACTCATCGCATCTGGATTCTGGTCTCATCCCGCGCGCGCATCTGGTCTCATCCCGCCACATCTGGTCTTCCGACTCTTTTCCTCCCAGCTCTCCTCTCGACTCTCCTCTACACTTTGCGCACCATCGGCCATAGCTTGCAACTCTCCTCTCGACTCTCCTCTTAGTCTCCATCGGCCATAGCTTGCAACTCTGACAGAGCTTACCCCTTCACACCTCCTGTAACTGGAGGGACAGCGATTGAGCACTGATCTGCAGTTCTGCACACCATATCGTCTCCAATTTCAGGTAATCTTTCAAGTAAGCGCTGATCTTATTACTGGACAGCGATTAAGCATGTTATAATTTTTTT